TGTATAGCCTTCTCCAAGCGCGACAGGCTCTCTGAATCCCCTATCTCCAGTTGTAGCTGTACCCCTTTAAGACGACGTTGGAGAGCCTTCTTCCTAGTAAGGATATTCCCAAACACCTCTTTGTTAAACTTGAGGGCATCTACTTGAACAACTTGTAGCCCATTAGCAAGGGTCGGCTTGCTACGACACCACGCCTCCCTAACGATCCGCTCAAAGTCTTTATGGGTGGCCCATGCAGCTTGGAACCGAAAGGGTCGATCCGGAGATTTGTCCCTAGAGCCGTCACGCCGTAGTAAGAGCGGGCAATGATCAGAATAGACCCGACACAGATTCTCAACATATGCTTCCGGAAACATTGCTTGCCACGCGACATTACACACCGCTCGGTCTAACCGCTTTGCCAGCACAACCCCTCGTTGATTTCGATACCACGTAAAGTGAAGGCCCTTAGCCCCCATGTCGAGAAGATTGCAATCATTAAGAACCTCTAGAAACTGTGATGCCCATGCCATCGAGAAACGACCCCCACGACACTCCGTTGACAACAAAATTTCATTAAATTCCCCAAGCCCTAGCCATGGAAGCGTAATTCGTCCTCCCAACTCCCGAGGGTTAGACCAAACCTGTTGTCTGAGTTCCACCCGAGGATTAGCATAAACGGCAGTACAAGCCCAGCTCTTGCTCCCTTCCACAACTGTAAACGAGATGGCCTGAGGGTGAGAGGCAAAGTCGGAGGTGGTAGCAGAGCAAGACAAGGCCATCAAAACCCAAATACCCCCAAAATGCCTCGTAGCCTCAATGCTATAACACAGCTTATAGTCCAAATTTTTCCAAAAGGATTCCACCGAAGAGAACTGGCAATGAGTTTCCAAGACAACAAAAATAGACGGGTGGTGGAGCCTTACTAACTCGGAAACCCTCCTTTTACCCTTGGCATTAACAGCCCCTCTAATGTTCCAACTCAAGATATTGAAATTTGTAGACATTAAATAAAGCAAAACTCGACAGGTACTTACACCATCATGGCCTCCTCTTCCAATAGCTGATCATATTGCATCACATCTTCCGTCCCCGATATGTCTCGCCCACTATCCTCGGACTCGTGAATTACCAAGGTCTTGCCACCTAGTTGGGGCGCAATGGAGACCAATCCCGTATGCAGGTTCCCCATGAGGCCTTCGTGCATGTCTCGTGAGCCTCCCAGAGTAGGATTATCTTGCGAACTGCTGGCCTTAGGAATGATACCATCCGTTACAATGCTACCTCCATCTAGATTGGGCCGTGGGCGGGCCCCAATGTCCTCCACTCTGCTGCGTTTTTTAGTCTCCTTTGCAGAACCCACTTCATGCTGATTCACGGGCATCACATGGCCCATATCAACACCACTTTCACGTTCGCGGTCACCTTCACGAGAATTCACGTTCACTGCACGTTGTGCATGGCCCTGTTCACGTTCACGTGGACTCACTTTGACTGCACGTGGGTTTTTAAAAACCTCACGTGATTCGGCCTCCATATGGGATCCCCGCGTAGGGTAACGCGGAAGGTTCTGATTCTTCTCCGTATTTTCCGCAGTCCCATAATGAGAGGGAGATTTACCCTTGCTCAACGGTTTGCCGAGATTGTTTTTCCGAGTTTTCCGTTTCACGATTAGCCAATCCCCATGCGGATCTGGCGTGATTAGCTCCCTTGCGCGCGGAGTGGATTGCTTTCCTGATTGAGCCACAGAATCTGCACTGTGCATTGCTTCCCCTGACGGCTGTTCCACAACCTCCTTCTCTCCCACGCCGTTTGCCTTTGCCACAGGCCTAGCTGCATGTGGAAAGTTCCGCAGAATGTGCCCATAACAGCCGCACGACGAACACAACAGATGTAATCCCACATACTCCACGTTATACCAAACACCATTGAGGAAAAATCTTCCCACGACTGGTTCATTTAGATTGATCTCGACACATACCCGTGCAAACCTTCCCCGTGTCATGTTGAGAGTATTCAGATCCACCTTAACTGGCTTCCCTCTGGCTGAAGCGATAGTTAGGAGAACACTCTCATCATAAAACATAACTCCAAGCCCTGGAAACCTGACCCAGACAAGAGTACTATCAACCTTCGTTGCTGAAGCTACGAACTCCGGGGACCATGGTCTAACAATCAGGTAGTGATCAAAGAGCATCCAAGGACCCCCGTGCATGACCCGTTCTCTATCCGCTTCCAAGTCAAACTTCACCATGAAGTAGCCATGTGACACGTCCAACAACTCTAGGCCTCCTTGGACCTTCCACAAGGCAGGCAGCCTGTCCCGCAAGGTTAAGAACCCTACATCTCTCCCTAGCAACTTGATCACTAGACACTGTTCCCATGGTTCACACAACTGCTTCAGGGTTGGTGCTGTGATGCTGAACTTGGGTAACAACCGATCTCCACCCTCAAAATCCAACGTCATAGCCCCTTCCTTAATAAGATCGCTAACGACCGGACTCACAGCCGGGGCACCCAGTACCTTCTCCTTGAAGGTCATGGTCTGGCTCATCTTTAGACCCCCATCACCCTCATCCGGCGGCTCCGATGGTGGTTGGCGTCCCATAGACATTCCCCAAATCCTCTCCATTTTTTTCTTTCGGGTTTAGGAGTAGTTTACTCACTCCGTCCCACACAACAACAACATCAAACATTTATAGGTTTCATCTTCACCACCAGTGTTCGATGAGCACTGTTCGACAATGAACTTCATTGTTGGTTTGGTACCATCATGAAGACCATGAAGGTCATGCTGGAGAGGAACACCAGACCAGAAGGGCCTTTATATTAAAATCATGAGCAACTTTCTGAAAAAATATGTGGAGGATAAAAATGTAATTTTATTTATAATTTTAAATTTATAATCTTTTAATATATTTGTATATCTTAATCGTTCAATTTTTAATTTATACATCTAACAGTTGTAAATGATTTCTCACACATATACCATTTAACACACTACTTTAAAATTACAAAAGTTATTACCTCACAGATGAGGCACATGACACATAGCTACATGCTAGAATCTCTATTTGTATTGTTTATTGTTCTTGTAAGTTATTTATTTTTCTTTTACGATTTTTATTTTGCAGTACTATATCGAATGAATATGTAATCTCAAACTTACTAATATGAAAGTGTGGTGAAGATCAACAAAAGTTCACAAACAGCATAATTAAAAATAACAATGTGGGTTATACTTAATGGAACAATTTGTCAATCCATCTTGTTTTTTTGGATTGAGTTAGATGAATAAACTTATCAAGTCACTCCATCCAACTCACTAACCTTTTTTTTTTGGTCTTAAAGGACAAATAATTAGTGAATTTATATTTCATCAATGTTTACATTTTATAATTTAACTCCTCTTTTTAAGTACTTATTCTCATTTTATATAAAAAATATATATTATTCTGATCACATATTTTTATTAGTACATTTTAATATGCAATGCCTTTTTTTTAAGTGTAGTTTTTTTTTCCTTTTGTTTGAGTTGTGTTAATTTTTTTCAATCCATTGAATTGAACTTGGTACTAAAGGAATTTACAACACTCACACACTCTGCTTAACCAATCGACTAAACCTCCTTAATGAGTTACATTAGTTTGAATTAGGTTTCATATTCAAACATAATTTAATTATAGAAATATATATCACTTTAATTTTTTACATGAAAAAATATAATTGCTCTCATAATCAATTTCACAAATAATAATAAAGTTGTAGGTTAAATTGATGACGTGTATTAAAAAATTTTAATTGAAATATTTTTTTAATTTGGGTGGATTGAAAATAGGACAACTCATCAATCTACTATTTTTAACCCAAAAACACTCCAAAGTATCCAACCTACCAACCCCATAACTAAATGGGGGTGAATATATTCTTTAACTCAGTTTTTTTGATGGACCAACTCGTCTCATCTCAATTTTTTGATGATTCAACTCATCTCACTATACTTAAGATGATTGACCTACTTTACTATTACCTAAATTGATGACATCATGTCAAAGGATTAAATTGAGTGCCCCTACTATAGGACAACACTTTTGAGTAATATTGAAATTGAATACAAATTTCTCTCTAAAAGACTCTAAATTTTCTCTTTGGAGGCACTTCTCCTTATGGACTTTTATAAAGAAATTTCTTCTTGTGACAAATTCTTCATCTTTTACTCATCTTCACTTTGAAGTGGTGCACCATGCTCTCTCCTTTTCCACCATTTTCATTTTGTTTCCTATGATGAGTTCCATGAATGAAGATTGGAGCATCAATGAAGCTAATTGAAGAGAAATACCAATCCTCTCCTTCACTAGTTTCATCATAAATTGTCTCATTAACATCCATTATAAAATTTTCCTATACTTTACGACTCCGTGATAATTATGTATCAAATTATGAAGAGTAAATAACTAGCTAAAAGTTTACAAATTTTTTTTATGATATTGTGCATGAATTAGATATATGATAATGAATTTTTTAAAATAAAAAAGTTTTACAAGTGAGATTTTAAATAAATGTTTAGATGATAATCTTGTTTTATTTGAATGAACTATTCATGCATATAATATCATTAAATGTTTGGGTTTTCTAACACTGAACAAATTAAATGGCATTAAGATTAATTTAACATTATTTGTACTAGAAGGATAGAGACATTTCGTGCTTCTAACAGTTATTTATTAATAAAATATTAGAAAATTGTGTATAATTATTTAAAGAAAATTTAAGATTTTTTATATATCTGGGAATATAATGGTCAATTTAAAAATAGAGACCAAAAAATGGTTATATCTCTTATATCCCCTTTATAATAGTTATAGATTATAAATATGATTATATTTTTTTTGGTGTTGCAAAAGCAATAGATATGGTTATATAATAATTGATATTATGAGAGAAAAATAAATTAAAAGTTGATTTATGGAAGGTATTGTGTGTTGAGCAAGGAATGGAAGGTCATATAATAAGGAAGGGTTGAGTAATGAGAATGGAGAGAATGCAGGGGCCAGGGGAGGAAGAAGTCAAGAAAGGGAATTGTAATTAAATAATAATAATAATAATGAATAATGAATAATGTGATAGGTCTGGGGTTGGCGTAAGCAGAGGAAGCGGTTGAAGATGGAGATTTGAGTTTGACCTCGTTGTTGGGCAATTGAAAGAAAAGAAAAAAAAGGCAATCTCCATGAAGAGCTCTCTGAAGAAATTGCGAGGTCTGGCACTCAGCAATCACAATCACAATCACAAGCATGCCTCCTCCAAGTCCATTCGGCCTCTGGGCCAGCTTGACGAGCTCGCTCGGGCTACCCAGGCACGCGTTTCTATTTCTATTTCCATTTCTTCATACAATACAATTTTTAGGGTTTCATGGAATTCGAATTGGAATTTCAGGACATGCAAGACATGAGGGACTGCTATGACACCTTGCTTTCCGCCGCAGCAGCAACCGCCAGCAGTGCTTATGGTATCAATTCATTGTTTTATGATCTCATGTCAATAATCATCATATCATATCCGCTTTCTTGCAGAATTCTCTGAGTCCTTGCGGGACATGGGTTCTTGTCTTCTTGAGAAGACCGCTTTAAATGATCACGGAGACGAAACTGGTATTCTACTGCCTACTGCCACACCTCATCCCCTTTCTATTTCTTATTCTTTTCTTTTCTTGCAGGAAAACTTCTCCTCTCTCTTGGCAAAATCCAGTTCAAACTCCACAAACTCATTGATCAATATGTCGCTCCTCATTCCTTCTCTCTATTTCTTTTTTCTCCTTTCCTTTTTTTTTTTCTCTGCTTTTCATCCCCTTTTCTTTCCCGTTTCAGCGTTCTCATATATTCCAGACAATTACCATTCCCTCCGAGTCTCTCTTGAATGAACTTCGAATTGTTGAGGTTTCTATTCCACAAAACAAAACGCTTTAACCTAAATTCAATTTACTACATCGACCACCTTTTCTAATTTTCATTATTTCTTTTTTACTTAACACTGGACCAGGAGATGAAACGACAATGCGACGAGAAAAGGTTTGAAATGTTTTCTTCGATCTAGTTTTCTCTTTCATTGTGATACTTATCATTTGTTATATCATCTGCAGGGATGTATATGAGTATATGGTAACAAGATATAGAGAAGGAGGCAAGTCTAAAGGTGGGAAAGGAGAAACTTTCTCTTTGCAGCAGTTACAAACTGCTCATGATGAATATGATGAAGAGGCTACATTGTTTGTTTTCCGATTAAAATCTCTGAAGCAAGGACAATCCCGGAGTCTTCTAACACAAGCCGCACGTCACCATGCTGCTCAGGTTCTTCATATTCCTTTAATTCATTGTAAGAATTTGGAATTCCTACTTTTTCTTTTATTTTGATATTGATTACCATTGCTTTCTTCTATGCTCCTAAACAGTTATGTTTCTTCAAAAAAGCAATCAAGTCCCTTGAGACCGTAGAACCACATGTGAAATCAGTAACCGAACAGCAACACATTGATTACCACTTCAGTGGTCTTGAAGAGGAGGCTGGGGATGAAGGTGATTATGGAGATGATGATGGTGGTGGTTATGATGAGCATGATGATGGGGAGTTGAGTTTTGACTATGGACAAAGTGAACAAGACCAGGATGTTTCTATATCACGAAACTCAATGGAGGTGTATACCTTTAGTAACTAAGGACTTTGTAATCTTTTTCTTTCTCTTTTATGTTTGTTGAGCTTGTTTAAAAATGAATGTCTAATAATAATTGGGCAACTGCATCCACTAACAGGCAAAAATGAGCAGCCAGGTGATTGTACACTCATTTGGTGGTAATTGAGGGGTTTAATTATACTACATGCATGCTAAAAAGAATATTAGTAAAATCAAAATTAATTAGTGAATGAATGAATTCCTGGGGGGAGAAGACTATGTTCTGTAGGCAGGCCTTCCAGGACCAAAGTCCATGAGCATTAGAGTTTTTGGCAACGTTGTTTTGCAGTCTTATGCACAGAAACTTTGCATCCTTGTTTGTTTAAATGTATGTGGCTAGCTGCTATGCACATGAGTAATATAGTTTAATTTGAGTGCTGCTAGATGGATGGATTGAGCAAGAACCTCTACAAGAAAACTATGGAGTATTAATTTGTCTGGTCCATGCATAAAAATGCTATGGAATATTTTAGTACTAAACTTCTGATTATGAAGATTTAGGATCAAGACAATATGTATAATTTTAATTTTCAACTTTATAAACGCTTCAATTAGCTTATATTACTCATCTTGATGACACGTTGCTTAACCATGTTTGCTTCTTTACAGCTGGACCAGTTGGAACATACACTTCCTAGAGTTTCTACAGCTGAAGCTGCTAAGGTAAAAAAGACATCTGTTGTCTTTAATTTCCTTTTGACTGTAAAATTTAAAGTATGTAAGTTAGAGCTTGCATAATGAATATCTTTTGCTCTATTTACAGGAAAACTTGGATAAACTTCAAAGGAATTTGTTTTCCTTTAGGGTTAGGGCAGGAAGCCAATCTGCCCCACTTTTTGCTGATAATAAACCTGATTCAAGTGAAAAACTAAGACAGATGCGCCCATCTTTATCACGGAAGTTTAGTTCATATGTGCTACCCACACCAGTTGATGCGAAGAGTTCAACCTCTTCAGGGTCAAATAATCCAAACCCTTCCAAAATGCAGACAAATTTAAGTGAACCTGCGAAGAACTTGTGGCATTCATCCCCATTGGAACAAAAGAAACATGAAAAAGATATTGGAAATGAGTTTTCTGGTTCAATTGGCAGAAGTGCACAGTCAGTACTCAAGGAAAGTAACAGCAATACTGCCTCCACGAGATTGCTGCCTCCTTTGGTAGATAGTCTTTTATCCTCAAATCGGGATTACATTTCTGCTTACTCTAAAAAGACTAAAAGACAAGCCTTTTCTGGCCCATTAACAAGTAATCCTGGGCCTACCAAGCCGGTCTCGGTAGAAAGTGCTCAACTGTTCTCTGGACCTCTTTTGCCGACCCCAATCTCTCAGCCTCCATCTTCATCTCCAAAAGTATCTCCTAGTGCTTCTCCTACTCTTATGTCTTCACCCAAAATAAGTGAGCTTCATGAACTTCCTAGGCCTCCAACCAGTTTCCCCTCCAATTCAAGGCTTTTAGGTTTGGTGGGTCATTCTGGTCCATTGGTGTCTAGAGTTCAAAAGGTTTCCACTGCAAATAATTTGGTTGCATCAAGTGCAGCATCTCCACTCCCAATGCCACCTCAGGCCATGGCTCGTAGCTTCTCCATACCTTCTAGTGGCACTAGAGTTGCAGCATTACATGGGTCAAGAACGCTAAAATCCTCTAATAGATCATCTATATCTGAGAATATTGCTTCTCCTCCTCTGATGCCAATAGCATTATCTAGTAGTCAGCCATCATCAGATGGCTAAGACTGTTGTCTGGATGTTTAGACCAGAGGTAATTTTTAAACCAGGATTTTTTTGTTTATTTTTTTTTCTTATTAATATTTTGTTTTCCTGGATTTATTTGAGCATTTTTGTTAATTCTGAAATAATGCCAGTGTAGAAATTTCATATATAAATGGCAAAACCTTCATCTCAAATTGCCTGGTTTGGAATGGAATAAAATGGAGACGAGGGTTAGAACTTAGGACCTAATTCTATGATATCAGAAACCTGAAATGCCATTGGTATTATTGAGCAAGTTCAATCTTCGAAGTTGTTAGAATATGTGAAAAATATTCAATCCCCACCTAGTGGAATAAAGCTTGGTGGTTGTTGTTGTATGAAAAATATCCAATATAATCTTGATTGTATCTTTAGAGTAATTTAGAGTATCTTAATTAATCTCTCAAGACTTTATTAATTAGGATATGATAAAGTAAGGATTAGTGCTTTATGTTTTGCAACATGACATTCACATCATGTCAAGTCAATACTAATTTCATAATATTCAGTTTTTATTCTCTCCTTTTCCTCCCGCAATACCTAAATCAATAATTTTGACATGGTATTACACTATCAGACCCTTTTGGACCAAATGGTCTAGGATTGGCTCCTAGCCACCCCATTCTTCTGATGAAGAGTTGAATTTAGGGGACTTTTGTGTGAGATGTGTTAGAGATATAATATAAAATTATTTTTGTCTTTACCCAACAGTTTAAAGTTTTGGAATAGTTGGTTGATGACAAATAAACTGTGACCTTTATACAAATACTTTCTAGAAATTCACATTGGGATTAAGAATATTTTTGGTGCAAGCATCTGATCTTAAATGGAAATGACATTTAACTTTGTGCCAAGTACTTTACGATATCAGGTAATACATATAGCAACTCACTTCATTGTTATTTTATACCATTTGCTCAATAACATAACATGTCCATCAGGTAGAGTGGAGCTGTTATTAATTGGTGGGGGTACATATTTTAGGACATGATAGGCCAGTTTTAATAAAGCCAAGAAATTTTTTTAATTCAAAACTAATTGTTCTAAATTGTTAAATACTATCATGTTAACATTGTATGATTTAGCTTAGAAAATGGCTTATATTGTTCTTTGTTCCCACTACCAATCCTCTGATAAATTTTGGTTTAACATCAAAATATTTAATGTCCACTTTCTGTTTTACAGGGATGTACATGTTTTGACTAATATTATGCGATGAACCCAGGTATTGTCAATGGATACTTGTGCAGACTAATTAACTTACGTCTGAAGTTAGCCCTGTTTACGACCTGGCAAATTAAGCTTAGGGTCAAGGAAACTTAGGTCAAGTTTTGCTTAATTGCAATTATGTAAATATATTCGTTTTACCTAGTATTCTTTTTTCTGTCATCTTCATTGTTAATTCAACCTTATGGGCTTTTGTCTTATTTTGAAATAAATGCCCATCGGCGTTATTGTTGAGATATGCATCTAAGCAATTGACAGTATCATGCCTCCCCTTTCCAAGCGATCCAATTGTCGAATTATGTTGTGTCCCTTCCATCAAGCGAAGTTTGCTTTCGGATGCTTTTGTGTTTTTGCAACTCAATCGTTTCTAAGAACACATCAAAGCAAACCTCGTAGAATTCTTTTTTTTTTTCCTTTTCCAGATCTGCATTCAAATCAAGCATTTGATTTATCTGCAACCAGTTGGAGCTGGATGAAAAGAGAGTGAATAGGGGTCATGTAAATATAAAATCAATTTCCCTGCCTTGTGTTTCGGATTGTTATGTGGTTAATAACGTGTTCAACCATCGAAGAAAGTAGAAATGGAGTGAACTGTCATGCAATTAGACTTGAGAGGGCGTTGTACCGCTCAAGAAACTGGTTGTCAGTGGTTTAGTATCGTGGCATTTCCGATGGACTTGTTGAATTAGTTTGGACCAGCCAAATAGTTATAGGTATGGGTGTGAAGAAACCTGAATCTATCGAAAACCGAACTGTGCACAGCCTCTTGTTGTGGACTTGTGGAGGGTGGTTTTGTTTAGAAGGTGTAAGCAAAATCCAAAGACCCAAATTTAATTGGCTTCTATTATTATCATTATCATTAATATCAATCTATCTATATATTACAAATAGACATCCCAAACCAAACCATCCGTACTAGCTGTACAGATCTGTAAACCACGAAAAGGATTGCCGAGGTCCTAATTGAAATACAATGCATGGTGGTAGTAGCAAGTAATTTAGAGATGGATGTAAGGAAAAGAGACATTTCCTATGATCGGGGATTGTGTTTGGTAGATATAATCTTTCATTTGCAGCTTCCTCCGGTATCATATCTGACGAATCCCATTAATTCCGGTCCTTTAAGTCTTGGATTATTCTTGAAACTGTAGGAATATAATGTTGTCACGATTGTAGATGAAACACTTAAGTATGGATAGAGAGGCAAGAGAAGCATGAAATGGCATATCTTAGATGGAGTCACCTTTGTTCGGAGAACTTGGAGAAGGAGCCGGATGTAGGGAA